TCTGACTTTACACTGACGCAACTTATATGAGCAAGAGGCCTCTTTTAGCCATATCTGACTACATACTGATTCAGCTTATATGAGCAAGAGGCCAATTTTAGCCATATCTGACTTTACACTGATGCAGCGAAGCCTCTCTTAGCCAGATCTGACTACACACTGATGGTAATCTGATGCAGTCTACATGAGCATATCATACCAATCATGCTTAATCTAGCTGTGCAAAGAGTCAGCTGCACTATCGACTCATTGAAACAAAACTGAAAAACATTTTCGACTACAGGTTGGCATTGAAAAATCCAGCAACCTCCAGACCTTAAGAGTGCCGACTTTGTGAAAATACAGGACTTATTTACAGTTATAAAGACAGCATTACTTCATAATGTCGGGTCTGATCCCATTGCAGGGCAGGTGATTTGGCAGCAGACCATCTTAAGTTGGTTTCGACAGTAAATTCGTCTAGAAAAATCACAACAGCCAAAAAAATTTAAGTTGGTTTTGCAAGGGATGCACAAGTAACTTAACAGGTTGTATATATTTGGCAAAAACTGCTGATAGAGACGTCTGGCGATCTCTCTGGCAAACCTCTACACCCCAAGGTAGAAGAGGAGCGACTAAGTAAGTAAGTAATATATTTGGCATATTTTTTAGCATTTAGACTTTCTCTGCGACTGACAATGTGTGATGTTTACAATTTATACCACATCTTTTCTTTGCTGAATCCACAATGGACAAATAACAGCAGCTTGTTTCAGTCATGTTACCACAGAGAAGCAGTGCCTGCCTTCACATGACAAAGGTTAGTTGCGTATCCTTTACAGGACGTTGCAGAACCAACCCCCAACAGCCCCTGGCTGTTGTGTGGTTTTTTCTAGGCATATTTATGTCCAGTAGTTTGCTATTTTTTTCTGGACGGTCAGCTTTCTTGATACCACTGTCGAAACCAACGCAAGGCCCATGGCCCACAGCTGGGATCGAACCCGGCATCCCGACATTACAAAGCGTTCGCATCGACTTAGCCACAGAGCCGACTCTTCACATGACAGATGAGTTAATTCATTGTTTGATCATATAAAGAGAGCTATTTCTTCTTTGTCCTTCACCCTTAAAAAAAATGATTGGTACGTTAAGTTCAGTCGATTAAAGAACCGACATCACAGCTTTCACATAAGCACTCAGGGCATTCCCATAAGCACCTGGTCCTCATCTTCAGCAGCCAGCGCAGAGTTCCAATACCAATGGTACCAGTCTAATCATATGTCCGTCTTGCCTTTCCTCTGAGCGCCGAGTATCAGTCAGATCCCTTCACTGCTGCATCACTATCACTAGATAGTGATGATCAATTTGCTCCCCCTAACTGACACGCTGTGTTGTGGTTTTTAGCTAGGCTGTGATATCTGTGCCCTTTACTCCAACAGTCCGATTTCAGTGAACTCTCAATTACCCACCTTTTACAACATGCTTACAAGGAGCTGAGGGACTAGTATTATTCCCCCTCAAAACACTGGGGTCACAAAACCCACATGGAGATATGGCCCAGTAATAACATTATAAATATCCAAAGTGTGCTTGGCAGAAAAAAGGGGATCCCCACCTTGTGGATTAGGAAATCTATGATCAAATAAATCTGCTGACTTGCTGTCAGGGAAAAAACTGTGCAGACAACTGTCGGTGCCTATTAATCACACAGTTGAACCACTGGTTTGGGGAACAGTGTCAGTGCTTTATTAATATCCTACCCCAGATGAAGTCACAGGACAGTCCAACATTTTAGAGGGTGGTAAGACAGGGTTTCCTAGCTTTCTGATGCTTTTAACGACCCCAAAACATCTAGAACTGGCCCTAACCCTAACCCTCCTATGTCCCCCAAGAGAGTGCAGCCTAGGTCCCAAGAATGCATGCTGCATATCAACCACCCCCTGAAATATTAATCTGTCCTGTGACCTGTGGATTTTCCCTGTTTGGGGTAAGATATTAATATAGCACCACAGTGTCTGCTATGACTGTAAAGTCTAGTGTGAGAGCGGCAGTCTCTGCAACACTGTCCACATAAAAACGCTGATACTCTATTATATAGAGGCTGTTCTTTTTCTCTTAGACTCTTCTCTATGCTTGGCCTTTTGTAAACTGCAAAATTACAAGTGGTAGGACAACATCAAGAGACGCACCAACAGCAGTCTGAGAGAGTGTACAACCAAGACCACAGACAGAGCTTGTTGGGGGTCCCTGACTGACTGATGAAACTGCGACAATGCATCTTTTACTGTCTGCCTCCATTGAAGTCGGCCTACAACTGATCTCTCTCAAGTGTCTGTATCTCTCAGGTCGCTTTAGCCTATGTCCTTATAGCAAAACCTTGGTCTTTCTGCAGATTTGTTTCCCTGTAACCAGGTCACCATTCAGAGCTAAACCACTACCAAGAAATTAGGGCAAACTCCTGCAGATAGGTGTGATGTTATAGCTCTTAAATATACTGGACGGTGGGGTGTTCAACCTACTTACTTATCATCTGACTTCATTTGCCCTTTAACCCCCGCTGGAGTGTAGAGCCACAACCAACCAATCATATTTTTTGCATGCAGCTCACCTTTTTTTTAACCTCACTCTCTAGTTCTCTTCTCTGTGTGTTTTGGTCTTCCTTTATTTCTGTGGCTCGTATGTTCCAGTGCAAAGATATTCTCAAGGTGTGTCCTATCCAAGTCCGGTATTATTTCCTCACCTCTTGATTCACTGAAATTTGTTTAGCTCTCATAATTTTTAAATTCTGAAATCTTCTATCTAGAACTAAGGTTTGAATTACACGCCTCAGTTTAGGTGAAAATATCACTAACTTGTGTGAAGGCACTCAACAAAAGATAGGGTACATGCAAAAGCAAAAGATAGGACGGCTTGATGTGAAATGGTCGAGGGCCTATGCTTTACTGGGGGATAAAGGACAGAAAAAAAGAAGAGGAAGAATGATGTCTAAGTAGGATGAACACACCAAATAATTGTTTGATAACCTGGTATATTTGACGGGCTACTGAATTACACCCACCTGCAGAATTTTCCCAAACAGGAGTAGTTTACCTCTGACAAAACGAAAAGAATTAGCAGATAGTTAATCACTGATTAACATAAGTATTTAGATGCCATTTCCAATAAGTGATCTCCATGCAGACCCTTATCAACTTGCTGCTAGCTTGCTACCAGGGCTGCCGTCATGCTTTGATGTAAGTCTGCTCGCTAAATAACTCCTGGTGGTGGTCGACAAGGTACCTGTGTGAATAAACATTTGCTGCTAAATAAACAAACATTTGCTGGTAAATAAACAATCTTATTCTTCTTCACGTTCAATGGTCTTGTTCCAGAATTTAAGTTTTTGATGCTCATCCATTTCACAGATCTGGCTTATTTGTATGCAGGCTGTTGGTTCCTCGCCTCTCAGGCAGATGCACTCTGACTTACCTAACTAGTAGACTTTAAGGATGTGCTTGTTAGGGAGTAGCGGGTCTATCAGTTATTTTCTCCCCATAATGGAACCTAGCAACCCACACCTGGAAGTAATGGAACACCACAACCCACACCTGGAGGTAATGGAACACCACGACCCACACCTGGAGGTAATGGAACCTCCTAGCACAAGCACTAGTCGGCATCTGTGACCTAGGCACTGTGAATGCACTTCGTAATGCCGGGGTGCCGGGTTCGATCCCAAGACGATTTGTCTTGCCTTGGTTTTGACAGTGGTACTGAGAGCTGACCAATCAGAAAGCAATAGCAAACTAGTGAACGAAAAATTTGCCTACAAAAACCACAAAAAAAAACAAAAAATGTTGGTGTTGGTTTGGCAACATCCTGTAAAGGATACGCAACTAACTTTATAGGTACAACAAGTATATGGTGACAGAACCACACTTTAAAAAAAAATATAAACCTGTTGGCGCTTGATGGGTGATATATAATCATCACCACAGTGGGCACACTGACTTCTCAGCACAAATCAGGTGGCATTTCCCCGACATAGTCTGTGTTGTATTTAGTATTCGGCTGAAAAACACTTTGTTTGAAACGTCTGGCTGTCTTTGTGCACAATATTTTCCATCCCTTTTTTGAGCTTTTTAGTCACATTTTACTAGTTAGCAGTCCTTCTTCTTTTTCTTCTTCTGCGTTCATCCGAAGATGTAACTGCATTGTGTCCATTTACAGCATGGCTGTGATATTTGCACCTTTTAGCCGACACATCCAACTTCTGCGGGCATTTGTTGAACGGGTTAGCCTACCATTCAGCAGTTGGAGGTTTCCTAATACGGGTTCAGAGACCCCATTTTAGTAGAGAAAAAAAAAAGAAATAAACCCACTGTAACTGTATAAAGCATGTAGTAAAATTCAGCTAATTAGTAGTGTTTTCTTCAAAGGTCAGAGTGCATCTGCCTGAGGCAAGGAACCAACAAGACCAAAAGTCTAAAAGTGAACGAACAACCAGAACTTTCCGCCAGAGTCAACAGCCCCTGAATGTGAAGAAGAAGCAGCACTTGGTGGGTGATATGGTCAGTATTAAACCAGCTACCTTTACTTCCCACATAGCCATTTTAAGTTGGGTCAATTTGGGCAACAAAATAGTACAATAGGTAAAGCAATAAAACTTGTTTATCAAGATTCGTTTCCTCACCTCTCTCAAGAGGAAGGGGGGGGGGGGGGGTGTACATGTGTATTATATTATGACAAAAGCAGGGCAGGGCACAAAAGGCTTCACCAACATATGTTCACATTTTTCAGTGTAGGAAACATAGAGACATGTCCCTGAAACTTGACACCAGAAAATGCTGAGCATGTGCTCCAACACTGTCAACTGTATGCTGCTAACACAGCAGCAATCTGGCCTGTCCCAACCTCAATGAAGACAAAGCTGTAAAGTATACAGAGAGATTTGGACTGCACGATAGCTTTCATAAAGGCAACCAGCTTCCTGAAATAAGTTTTCTAACAGAAGGATCGAAGAAGAAAAGTGTACAACTTACTGCAAGCAATGATGGATAAACTTAATGATGATCTGCAGCTGTACCTCTTTCATCTGCATCTTCTTCAACAAATCTGGGAGTTTTACTGAAAGTATCCAACATAACACATTTCAATATCAAATAATATGTGGTGTTTTTGTGAACCCAAGAGGTCTAAATAATATTTGGTGTTTCATTAAAGTGTTTTTGTCAACACAAGAGGTCTAAATAATATTTGGTGTTTCATGAAAGTGTTTTTGTCAACACAAGAGGTCTAAATAATATTTGGTGTTTCATGAAAGTGTTTTTGTCAACACAAGAGGTCTAAATAATATTTGGTGTTTCATGAAAGTGTTTTTGTCAACACAAGAGGTATAAATAATATTTGGTGTTTCATGAAAGTGTTTTTGTCAACACAAGAGGTCTAAATAATATTTTGTGTTTCATGAAAGTGTTTTTGTCAACACAAGAGGTCTAAATAATATTTGGTGTTTCATTAAAGTGTTTTTGTCAACACAAGAGGTCTAAATAATATTTGGTGTTTCATTAAAGTGTTTTTGACAACACAAGAGGTCTAAATAAAATATGGTGTTTCATGAAAAGATATTTGCCAACACAAAACCTGTAGGTGATAATGGGTGTTTACAAAAGAATATCTGCCAAAACAAGAAGTACATTTTAAAATACATTATCCCCGTGTGGGTTCCGTGGCCCCATTGTGGGGAAAAACAAGAACAGACCCACTGCCTACCCAAAAGCACGTCGTAAGAGTCGACTAATTCAGGAGCTTCCATTGAAGTCAGTGTGCATCTGCCGAAGAGGCAGGCAACCAACAGTCTGCATTCAAGTGAATCAGATCTGTAAAACGGATACACACGCAACACTCAGGTTCTGGAGCAGGGCTGCAGTTCAGACGTGGACGAACAACCAGATCTTTGCGCCACCCTGTAATACAATTCCTTATGTTGTGGCGACCTCCAACCTTAGCATTATTTTTGTTGCAACTTCATAACTTCAAAGAATATGTGTTTTCTGATGGTCCTTGGCGACCCCTCTGAAAGGTCGTTTGACCAAAAAAAGGAAGAGAACCGTTGGCTTAGGTGAAGATTTTAGTCATCAGTCGAGGTTCAACTTCAGTGCAGATGGGTCACCCCCACAACAGCTCGGTTCCTGTGCCAGGGAAAAATCACACAAAATATCCTTCACTGCCCAAGTAAAAAAACAGGTGGAACAGATATCAGTTCCAGCAAAAAATCTTGAAGCTCGCACATGCAAAGTAAATGCATAAGGCAGCAATCAGATGTGCCAACACTAACGGTCTCCCAACAGAATTACAGTTCACTGTTAATGCTAGAAGACAATTTAGAAAAAAAAAATACCAGCATGTGCACAGGCCATTGCAAATCTAATCAGCCGTGCAGCACCTTTAGCGCAGTTCACAACATAAAACCACCACATGAAATCTGCCGCTCACAGTGTTGCATCAAGCACTCACATTCTCAGCTGGGTGGCTGAATCTTTGGACACACTAAAGAAATGGGGAAAGGGAAATAGCACCAGAAATTTGCAGCTAGAAAAAGAAACTATTTTCTTAAAGTGTCAGGAGTAGCTGGACTCTTCACCATCTTGGATTCGAAGCTGAGAGAAATATAAGTTATCTAACACTGGCTGCCAGAAGCCACTCTTAGAAAGGTTAAGGTGCTCTGTAGTTGACTGAAAAGTTGTCGAAGGTTTTCCTGACACAACTTTCCTTTTATCCCCTCCCTTTATAGGCGGGGACCATAGGCCACTATAGAGGCTGTAGTACGACACATCTTTCCTTTTTGTTCTCCCTTCATACGAGGGGACCATAGGCCACTACAGAGGCTGTAGTACGACACATCTTTCCTTTTTGTTCTCCCTTCATACGAGGGGACCATAGGCCACTATAGAGGCTGTAGTACGACACATCTTTCCTTTTTGTTCTCCCTTCATACGAGGGGACCATAGGCCACTACAGAGGTAGTAGTATGACACATGTCCTCCACTGATCCATACAGTCTGGTTCCCACTGGAATGCTAACTGGCCAGACCCGGGACCTCCCTACCGCATGTAGACAGCATGTCTGCAACACATTCTCAGTATTCTGAGAAACCCTAATACATGTAGACTGATCAAACAGTCTTCCATGTGCAGAAAGGAAAGTATCTGTTCAATCTCCACAAAATCAGAACCACTCACCAAACATTCGTAGCAGATGGACGGTTCCATAAATCTGTGAGGGGGTGACAGGTCCGTGGACTTTGACCTCTGCAGGCAAAAGCTGCCAGCCCAAGATCCTGTCCATGGCGTCCTCCCGGCCACGAGATGACCCAAGGGTCATAATCTCTGTGCCAGCGGCACTGCTAGGTCCTTCCTGACCATTCACCAGTCCTTGATCACTCTGGCAGAGCAGAAATATATGACAAATATATAACATACACGTACACTTCTGTAATGAACCATATATACAGTGTGTTTAAAACATCAGCCACACACACACACATGCAAAAGGTAAAGTGAAATACTGTAGAGTAAATTAGAGAAAGTACAGTAACATTAAGTACAGTACAGTTAAATAAAGTACAGTTAGGGAAAATAAAGTAGTCTAAAAAAATACAGTAGAGCAAAAAAAAGTACAGTTAGAAAATAACTCCCCCCTCCCCTCCCCGTGTGGGTTCTGGGGCCTCATTGTGGGGAAAACAAGAATAGACCCAATGCCTAACCAAAACGCAACACTCAGGTTCTGGGGCAGGACTGCAGTTCAGTAGTGGCCGAGCAACCAGAACTTTCCGCCACAGTGTACAGCTGGTGAACGCGAAGAAGAAGAAGAAAATAAACCAGCACAGTTAAATAAAGTACAGTAAAGGAAAATAAAGCACACTAAAATGAAATAAAGTACAGTAAAGTAATGTACCGTAAAGAAAGTACAGTACAGTAAAATAAAAAACATTAAAGTAAAGTAAAATACAGTAAAATAAAATCCAATAAAGTACGGTACAGGCTGTCCAGCACGTCTGCATCCTCGAAGGACACCCATCTCTTCCAGTAAGATTAAACTCAAACCACTTGTCTTTGCAAGAAAATGAGTAACTTTATTAACCTAAATAAGCTGAGAGATCTGCAAACTGGTTTACCTGACTTGGACCGGGCAGATCCGGCGACGGGACGTCCATCTCCATATCACTGCTGGGTTCCAGTTTAACGATTGGAGCGTCGGATACTTCAATCACTTCCAGTTGTGATCGCCGTCGTGTTCGAGATGCGATAGGAATAATAGACGCATCTTCCTTGTGCAACCTCCGTGAAGACTTTGGGGATGAGAGATCTGAATGCCGCGAGCTTCGATGCGGCTGTTGATTGACAGTTATGTGGGGTTTCTGTTTCATGTTTTGACTGTCAGAGGCTGCCATCTCATGGGCTGATTGTCGTGTGATTCTTCGAGCAGGTGTGGTGGGTGATCTACGAGCAGGTGTGGTGGGTGACTCTTTCATGAAAGAAGTTGATGACTTTGACGAGCATGAGAGCGTGGGTGATGTAGAACGATGATGCTGTGACTGCGAATGTTTGGTCATTCGTTCTGACTTTAGCTTTGCATTCTGAGCACCTGACCTGACTGCCCTGTTTGGAGATTCATCGGATGGCAGAAGTGACCTTCAAGTGAACAAACACCATACCATGCTCAAAGGTCAGAACAACATTAATGAATTTTCTACATTTCACATTTCAAACTGGAAAAATAAGGGCAAAGGATAAGTTCCCTAATTACCCGACAAAACCAGTGACCAAACGAATCAACCACGAACGAAACCAACCAAACAGCCAGGTTGTCACTTTACTAGTCATCTTGATATTTGACTATCCATCTATCTAGCTCTACCTACTTCCATCTATCCATCCATTCATCCATCTACCTTCTTCTTCTTAGCGTTCACTGGCTGTGAACTCAGATGAAAAGTTCTGGTTGTTCGTCCACCTCTGGATTTTAGTGTTATTCTAGAATTTTAGATTTGTGCGCACACTCGTTTTATAGATGTGGCCTATTTATATGCAGACTATTTGTTTCTTGCCCCTCGGCCAGATGCACTCCGACTTACAAGGAAACACCCCAAATTGTCAACTATTACCACATACTTGTTAGGGGGGCCCTTTGGGAACAAGTAATGGAATTAGTAGAGAAACAAGATTATTATGGCCTGGAGAGAATGAGGCACCTGAGTGTAACCAGAGGGTTTGGCCGACTCACTACACTCAGAGGAAAGGCGAGACGGACCTGTAACCAGATTGAGACTGGTACCATCAGTATTGGAACTCTTCGCTGGTTGCTGAAGATGAGGACGGAGCACGCACGGGAATGCCATGAGTGCTGTGATGTCAATTCTTATCTTACCTAACTAACTTGGGGGAGGGGGGGGGGGGGCCTGCAGGTATCCCCGCCCCAAAGCCCCTGAACCTACACAGAGATGTTTACCTTCCTCCCTCAGTCTGTCTACCCAACCATCCAGTCTAAGCTATCTATTTACCTGTCTGTCTGCCAACCCACCTACCTCCCTATTTTTTTTTTTTCTACACCTTATGCAGTAATGCTTTGCAGAAAGGAGTAAGATGTAGTTTTCTGTCCTTTGCTAGTAGCCTAGCTTGTGTTAATGTCATATTGAGTCTCTGTAGCGTCTCTTTTACTCCCTCCACCCATCTCTTTCCTGGTCAGCCTCTTGACTTGTAGCCTGCTGTTCTTATGTAGTACGCTTTAAGCAGATAACTAAACCCTTTGATTCTCTGATGTTCTTTAAAATCATTTATCAGTGCTGTGCCTGCCGTTATTATTAGTTCTTCATTGGTGACTCTGGGTGTGTTGGGCTGAAATGTGCAGATATTTCAGCCTAGTTATAAACCACAAAACAACATGGACATCGCTCTTTTGAGGTGAATATAGAAGAAACAGAATAAGAAAAAGGAGGAGGAGAAGAAGAAGGAGGAGGAGAAGAAGAAGAAGAAGAAGAAGAAGAAGAAGAAGAAGAAGAAGAAGAAGAAGAAGAAGAAGAAGAAGAAGAAGAAGAAGAAGAAGAAGAAGAAGAAAACTAAGAAGAAAAGAATATTAGGAAAGTCAAATGTCCAAGCAAGTTAAACTTACGCCTCCTTATCTCTGGCTATAAGATCCACAGGTTTGATATCTTTCATGGCTGATTCGAACTGCTGCTGCTCTGCAGCATACAGTAGAATTATGGGTAGAGTAAAGTCAAAGATGACCCTCAGGCTGTCGACAAACTCCTTGCACAGTGAAACACTGACAGGAGACAGGCAAATAAAACATGATTATATTCATACATAGTTGTTCCTCTATTATTCTGGGTGTAAATACAACATAATTTTATTTATTGACACTCTTTCCTCTACTAAAGATGGGTTGTTAACCTTACCAGACCATTGTACCTATTTTCCAAAATTGCCTAATTTACCACTATATCGCTGTACCTAATTTTCGGTACTTCGCCTAGTATGTAAAAAAAAATGTGTCACAAACTAAAAATAAGCCACATATCGTGGTCAAACTTTATGGTTAGCTATTGGAAATGTCTGCCCCCATGTGTTTGAAAATTCAAAAAAAAAAAAAAATGAGCGGCTGAAGAACCAAGCACTTCAACAGAAAAGCAAAGTAGGCCTTGGCTTTTGACATTCCAACAGGTGATCGATACTTTGGTTGATTCAGACTCTGAGGAGTCAGAATTTCATCAAGAATACGTTTCCAGTTCAAGTGACACAGACAGTGAGAACTCGAGTGATGAGGAGAATCTATAGAGCTAGATCTATAGTAAGAGAAGGGGAGGGGGTAGGGGGGTGCCCTTAAACAGCTGATGGGGGAGATCTGGGTGGGGGTGAAGGCTGGACATGGCATTTTGTATAACCAAATAAAGATCAGAATTTCACTGGGGACAGAAAAGTGTGCATTCTTAGATCTATCACAGAGGAGAGTGAACCGACTGACTTCAAAAAAGCGAGTTTATTTCACCAGATAAATACAGAAACTGTGCCTGCAACTTATTGGTGGATACAGGACATCAGCCCACTGCAGCCCATAAAAGGAACCCTGCCCTTAACCGATGACCCCAGGCAATCATTTTCCAGAGATTTTCCCCGGGACATCATTTCTGTGCTGTGAGCATGGAAAAGCACTCCTGGTACAACAAGCAAAATCTTGGAGTGTCTTACAAAGACAATCCATGCAAGGAACTGAAGAGCAATATCTGGTGCTCACTTTTGCAAGAAGTTCCTCTGTCGGAAACAAGGCTCATCCTGCTGGGTGGACTGGCACACAAAGGTGGAATATTGGCATTAGATGAAAGTATACAGATTTTCTACAATGTCTCCAAGTTCTGTCTTATTCTAACCACTTGTTTGCATGTAACTAAAATTTTTCTATATCATGTTAGTTTTTTTTTCTCTTTAACGCTCAGGAGCCCACATATAGGGGACAGGTTCAGAGCCCCAGGTCTGGAAGGGGTACTATATCTTCATCATCATCTTCAGTAAGCAAGGAAAATAAACGATAGCGACCTGCCATAATATGGAAGCCAAGATCACTGTCATTTCTTTGAATGGACAAATCTGACTACTAACGTACATTTAAAAGTGGAAGCGGATCTCCTCTTCTCTGACAAACAGTATTTGCTACTCCCATGTAGGTTCTTGGGGGCTCACTGGGGGATTGGAAAAAGGATGGGGGGTAGGAGAGGGATATCCCCACAGCCCCTTACTAAGCATACCACAAAAAGCAACAAATTGAAGATCTGCTAGTCAGATGTGTTGGGCCAAAAGGTGCAGATATCAAAGCCTAGCTGTAAACCACAATACAATGTGCAAACGCCTCCATTTTAAGAGTGAATTCAGAGGAAGAAGCATCTGCTGCGTATCCAATGCCAGTATATACAGACATGAGACCGCACTGGTCCAATGTCTGCTGCAGTGCATCCATTATGATGCATAGATGCTTGCTTTCTAGCTCCACATCACTTAGACCAACTCTGCGCTTGCTGCTGAAGATGGGGACGGAGCGCTTATGGGAGTGTCCCGATTGCTGTGATGTCGATTCTTAATTCAACTTAGACCAACAGTAGTAGTAGTACTTTTACCCCACCAGGACATCACACAAGCGATACACACCCGATCACACAAAGTGCCACCATGCAGATGAGGATCACCCGTGGAGAGGTCCCAGATACCGTGTTCAGCCATTAGACTATATTTATGGCTGGGCTATATTGCGGCCCCTGGCAAGAGCCAGAGTAGGGCTTCAAATAATGAAAAGTTGCTTCCCACAAAGGGATGACAGGGTATTAATGCATATAAAGACCAACATATTGCTATTTCTTTTTCTGCATTCATCTTAAGATGTAAATGTATTGTGCCTGTTTACAACACGGCTGTGATATCTGAGCCTCTTGACATATACATCCGACTTCCGCAGGCATTTGTTGCCCAGGTTAGCCTTCCCGATTCACATTATTTTACTGTTCAAGTATTTTTTTTTTTAATCAAGGGCAAAATACTCTGTCAAACTGACAGGTTTAGCTCACTCATATTTCTATAAATGGATTACCTCCCTTACCACTTATCTGGAGGACACCTGAGAGTGTGTTTACTGCTGCTGTTTCTGGTCTTCTCTCTGCCTCCCGTGGGGTCGCACACGTAGTTCACACAGAAGGTCTTCATAAAGCTCTCCAGAATGTCAATAACACAGGGTTTGGCAGGTACCCTGGTCAGCTGTTGACATTTTAAACAAATATAGCATACAACTTGATCGAACAAAATGCATGAATTTCATTAAGGTTATTGTTTGTGGCAGAATAAACACGTTACAAATCTGAGAAGGGAGAGAAAGAGTGTAACATGAAGAACGTGCACAATTAAAGAAATATCTTCTACCAAGTTGCATGATGATAATATTGTCTGTTCACCATCTCTGATGGGTTATAGCATGGTGCTATTTGATGTAGAAAAACTTCCAGTCAATATGGAGGAAAGGCAAAAGGCAGGTTAATTGTTTTTGTACTTGGGAAGTTTTTGCTTTTGAAAATGGTTGGTCCTAGCATTTGCCTCCATGTAGACTGAAAGGATATAGTTTTATCACCAAGCTGGTAGTTTGGTCTGGTAGTCTTAGTTTCAGCTTTATAGCAAACAGGTCACCCCATCTTTGCTCCGCTCCTGTGCCAACGAAAAACACACAGAATGTTTATCATAGTATTAGAATTGCAGTTCATCGTTGGTGGTAGCAGAAGTCGCCAACAGATCAGCAGTTGCCCACGCGATAAATTTTAATCACATACGGGCACCACAACACTGCACGACAGGCATCCCGCCATTTTCTGAATCTACAATTCACACCAACACCTTCGTCACAGTCGAAGAAACATTCCAAATGCAATCCGCAGCTCACAGGGTCATGCCATGCATTTAACTCAGAAGCTGGGCGACGAAACTATATCCAGTCTACAAATGGAACAAAAATGCATCAGCCACCGTCTGGCAAAAGTAAAAGAAATTGCCTGTTTCGAACAGTGCCGCTGCCTAACGTCCATTTTGACCGGAAGTCATCCTCACCAAGCTACTGAGCTAAGTGCACGATGCAACACTGTGAGCTGCAGCTTTATTTTCAAATGTTTATCAACTGTGCCCAGTGGGGTTTGTGTTGTGAAATGTGGATTCAGAAAATGGCAAGCAATTTGTTGCCACAGAACTAGCAGTGTACCTTATGTGAATAATTGTGTATGCAGCTAGCTACTGATCTGTTGTAACTACATCTTCCATTGAAGATAAACTACATTTCTAGTGTCGGAATGTTTGTGTTGGCACTTCTCATGACTGCCTTATGCATTTAATGCCAGTAAATGCTATTAGATTTGCTGAGACTGCAGTCTGTATACATTTTTCTACAAGGAGGACAGTAGTGGAGATTCTGTGTGGTTTTTGCTGGCACAGGGACGGAGCAGCTATGGGGTGACCCGTTTGTTATGAAGCTGAAACTGGGATTTCCCGATTGCATGAATGATGTATACTTTAAATTAAAAACAATGTGATGAAAAAATCAACAAGAAACAAAATAAACCTTATTTTTCTTGTTGATTAAGATGTAATCCTCTTCCAACTGCATTTTTAAAGTTTCCGGAATGTCGTACTCAACCAGGCTTGTTTTCTGAAATTACCATATCCGTGGAAAATTAAAATGTCGTAGATTTATTTAAAAGTAAGTAAAGAACACGTTTCCACGCCCTCTGGCATACCGGGCATATAGAGCTAGACGTATATTTTATGTACATTTCTTTTACTAATCAAATCTCAAGTGGCAACAAATGATTAATCAGCTGTATCAATCTTTCTCAGCAAACTTGTGGATGTGGTTGGGGCTTGACTGACTGACTGTCATTAGACATTATTGGGAGGAGTATTTCTACCAGTGGAATGGGAAGAGGTCTGAGCAATTCACCGCTTACCACTAGAAGAGACATTTTCGCTTTTGGAAATATGAGGGGTTTCATCATTCACCATCGATATCTAGATATTTACGAAGAGGGGATGTGTCCACTACCAGATATAGGAGGACTTAAGCATTTTATCATCTACCACTAAACATTGTAGAGAAGAGAAGTGTCCATTAATGGCTAAGGGAGGGGTTTCATCTTTCACCATCGATATCTAGATATTTACGAAGAGGGGATGTGTCCACTACCAGATATAGGAGGACTTGGGCATTTCATCATCTACCACTAAACATTGTAGAGAAGAGAAGTGTCCATTAATGGCTAAGGGAGGGGTTTCATCATTCACCATCGATATCTAGATATTTACAAAGAGGGGATGTGTCCACTACCAGATATAGGAGGACTCAAGCATTTCATCATCTACCACTAAACATTGTAGAGAAGAGAAGTGTCCATTAATGGCTAAGGGAGGGGTTTCATCATTCACCATCGATATCTAGATATTTACAAAGAGGGGATGTGTCCACTACCAGATATAGGAGGACTCAAGCATTTCATCATCTACCACTAAACATTGTAGAGAAGAGAAGTGTCCATTAATGGCTAAGGGAGGGATCCGATCATTCCACCATTTATCAATAGACACTGAGGACAGGAGAAATGTCAGTTAATGGGAATAGAAGGGTTTGAATCATTTCACTATACCATCTATCATTAATCATTGAGGTCAGGATACATGTCAGTTAATGGGAATAGAAGGGTTTGAATCATTTCACTATACCATCTATCATTAATCACTGAGGTCAGGAGACATGTCAGCTATTGGGAATAGAAGGGTTTGAATCATTTCACTATACCATCTATCATTAATCACTGAGGTCAGGAGACATGTCAGCTATTGGGAATAGAAGGGTTTGAATCATTTCACTATACCATCTATCATTAATCACTGAGGTCAGGAGACATGTCAGCTATTGGGAATAGAAGGGCTTGGATCACTCTACCATATCAACTATCATTAAACATTGAGGACAGCAGACACCTCAACTAGTTGGAATAGAAAGAGTGTGGATCATTCCATCAAACCATCTATAATTAAACATTGGGGACAGGAGACAAATCAGCTAATTGGAATAGAAGTGTTTGGATTATTCCACAATTTCATCTATAATTAAACATTAGGGACAGGAAACATGTCAGCTTATGGGAATAGAAGGGTTTGGATCACTCCATCAAACCATCTATCATTAATCACTGAGGTCAGGAGACAAATCAGCTTATGGGAATAGAAGGGTTTGGATCACTCCATCAAACCATCTATCATTAATCACTGAGGTCAGGAGACATGTCAGCTTATGGGAATAGAAGGGTTTGGATCACTCCATCAAACCATCTATCATTAATCACTGAGGTCAGGAGACATGTCAGCTTATGGGAATAGAAGGGTTTGGATCACTCCATCAAACCATCTATCATTAAATACTGGGGACATATACACTACTAGATGTGGGAGAGACTTAATAGCTCAACCACATGTCAACTGAAGAAGTGTAGAGATGCTTTGTTTAATGGAAATGGGAAGGGACTGATCATCTATCACTGTGCATTGAGGACAGGAGGGATGTCCATTGGTGAGAATTTATCGTAAATTATCTTCAATAAACTTCTTCTTCTTTACGTCCTCTTGAACCGCTTCGGGTGTCGAAGGAGATATAAGGTCCTGCTTCGTGATCTTCTGGCTGCTTCGACCATACAGACACATCGTAGTTTACAATAAACAATATCACAAAAGGATGACTTCAAACTAACCTGTCTCTTTTTTTCCTGTCCAACCTTTCCTCGTCCAGTTTTCTGAAAATAAAACAGACACAGAGTTCAAACAACGTGCACAAAAACAGCAACTACCCCATTTTTCTGTGTGTAAGTTGCTTCCTTCTATAAGATGGCCCCTATTTTTTTCTTTTTTTAGGCCAAAATAAAAAAAAAAAAGTATTGTAAGCACAACCCATGTATAAGATTACCTCCAATTTTAAAATAAAACAATAAGGGAAAATATACAGTTTTATAATGGCAAAATACAGTAATCACATGCTAACTTTTTTTTGAGTACTTATCTGATGCCAGAATTTACATCCGGTAAAAGTGAAGGAAAGGAAAAAGATACAACATGCAACATTTACAATGAATAATATTTACACAACACACAATATTTATGCAACATGTTCACAAGAGCATGTTAACCCATACAACATGCAAAATTCAAACAACATGTAATATTTATATAACATGTAATATTTATATTACATGCAACATTTAGACAAAATGCTACATTTAGACAAAATGTTACATTTAGACAAAATGTTACATTTAGACAAAATGCTACATTTAGACAAAATGCTACATTTAGACATAATGTTACAGTTAGACAAAATGTTACATTTAGACAAAATTTTACATTTAGACAAAATGTTACATTTAGACAAAATGCTACATTTAGACAAAATGCTACATTTAGACAAAATGTACACGCTACATAACCATATAACATTTAGACAACATGCAAAATTTACATAAAACACAACATTCAGACAACATGCAACATTTACATAAAACACAACATTCAGACAACATGCAACATTTACATAGAACACAACATTCAGACAACATTCAACATAAAACACAACATTCAGACAACATGCAACATTTACATAAAATACAACATTTAGACAACATGCAAAATTTACATAAAACACAAAATTCAGACAACATGCAACATTTACATAAAACACAACATTCAGACAACATGCAAAATTTACATAAAACACAACATTCAGACAACATGCAACATTTACATAAAACACAACATTCAGACAACATGCAACATTTACATAAAACACAACATTCAGACAACATGCAAAATTTTCACAATGTACAACATTTACAGAACACATAACATGTTCACTTTACACGACATAACATTCAGACAGCATGCAAAATTTTCACAACATGCAACATTTACACAGCATACAACATTAACACAACACACAGCATTTAAAAACTTTCCCTACCTTCCCAGAATCAGACTCATCATCGGACTCTTCGCTGTCGGTGATCACATCAAATTCAGGCGGAGCTCCTCCAAATGCTTCGTGAAGAATTGTGTTGATTTTCCGCCTCCTCTGACTATTCTTTTTACAGCTATGAACAAGTCAAAAGACAACAGGTGAAATGGTTTGGCTATGTAACGGGGATGCCAGCAGACAGTATACCACAGCAATCATGATGTTCAGACCAGGTGGGAAGCGAAGAAGAGGCCGACCACACAAGCAATGGACAGAGGGAATATTGGAGTCCCTGGGAATCTCAATTTACGAAGCACAGAAAAGGGCACTTTCACATAAATTATACTTTGCCTCGACGCCGCAAGGTGCAAGAGGGTCAAGATGAGACGGCGATGAACAAGTCAAAAACATTCATTGCTCTATCAAATCAAAAATGATAACAAATGGTTTCAAATATAATACAAACAGTATTTAATGTGAACATATAAGGTTCCTGAGGAGCCAGACTTTTTATCAAAAAATGACCATGACTGCCAGGTTGACCCAGCCCTAAATGGGTCCCGGTAAAGTCCTGGGAAGTAAAGGTGGCCAGCTTGATGTTAACCATATTACCCACCTAGGGCCAATTGGTCTATAAAATATGGGTCCAGTCCTATATGTCCAAAACACCAGAAGATACGGAAGAGGGTCTTTAATTTTTACATGTCAGGTTATTCCACCTGCTAATGTGTCTACCTCTGGGAGCAACTGATTTGTCTTTCTTTGGGAGCCACTGAGTTGTCTCCTGAATTTATCTGGTGCCCATTTTAGCCTGGAAGCCAAGGTAAATTTTTGTAAATGACTTTTGAACCCACTAGCTTCAGGTCCATTGCGAGCATCTAGTCGAAAAATACTGGAAAACAGGTGGATGCAATACATTTAATTTACTTACAACTTCCTGGCAGTATCTGTTAACTTGCGCATTAATTCCCTGTTCTCGTCCGTGTTCCTCAGCAAATAATGTTCTCCAACCTGGCGGTCCCAGCTACAGGGGAAGACGAGAGCAAAGAATAAAGAACTGACTGTTGGTTTATAAAAAAACTGGTTGTTACTGCTTGTATGTATCACTTTTTAAGGCAGTGTAGGATATGGGATCTTGATTTAAAGCTGCGTAAGTGTCGTCATCCATGATAGAAAAACTTCCATCACTCAACAAGAATTTGCAAACTGGTTTCCCGCACGACAGCCCAGCATTCTAATGATGTGGCCAGCCACTCCTCAGAAAGCATTTACACAAAATAATATTTTAAAGAAGGAACTGAGATGAGTTTAAATTAAGAACTAACAACATAGTACATGAGACATTCCCACAAATGCTCTGTACTCATTTTCAGCAGCCAGTGCAGAGTCCTAATATTAATGGGGACAGGTGCTCCCTCATTATACGTGGCTTTCCTCTTAAAAAAGTCAGCCAGATCCTTCGGACGCTTCCAGTTATATTATCACAGTACAGATATTAACCCTTCCACCCTGGGAACACTATTCAAATTGTCATGGTCCCATTAGAATTCCAGAAAAAATATGTTTAAAAAAAAACGTTTTACACAGGTCACTAAATATATGTTAAAAATGTATTCATCAACATTTTAAATTTTTGTTGACATATACAAAAATATATGAAATGAGTAATCAATAAACACAAACAGGGTGACGTGATAAATGGAATACATTTCCCCAAGGCCTAAACAAAGACTCAGGCCGTGACCTCAAACACTGAGCAGTATGGGAAACTCTGACATCAGCTTAGCTTTAAAAACAAAAACAGCCATTTAGATCAAAGGAAAACCCCTCAAAATGCTATTGTTAGTTAATGTATCCATTGTCTGACCTCTAAACATTTGCGCAGGCTTGAAAACAGCCAATAGCATTAACAATGTGTCTCATAAACAGGTCACTACAGACAAGTCACAAAAGTGACATTTAAGGGGAACTGGACCCAACCGGAAGTATAGGTTTTTCAGCTTCTCAGGGGGAAAATGTTAAGGACACAGCATGCATGAAAATGGATGAGACATGAAAGATCAAAAGGATAAGAAGTCTTGTCACTAGATTTTTATAAATATGATGGTCCTCACAAGACTTGCTAACGGATGATGATGATGGTAGTGGTGATGGTGATGATGGTGGTGTAAGAAATGAAGATTGTAATCACCTGCTATTCCAGCCCTGGAAGTGAACCACGTAGACAGCTTTCTTTTTGCCTGTAATATCTTTGATTGTTCTTTGTTCGACAACCTTGGTGAGATCACAAGCCAGGAAAATGGTTATATTATCAACAGACAAACTGTACACTAAGAACATGCATCATTTAAAAGCTCTTCAACTGTATGTCTTGTTACATTTCTTAGTTTAAAAAACAAAACTGAAAAAACTCATACTACTTGTAAACAATACAGTGATCCTCAACAAAAACAAAATATCTTTACGCACTTCAGCTGATTTTCTCAACAACAAAATATCGTTACGCACTTCAGCTGATTTTTCTCAACAACAAAATATCTCTATGCACTTCAGCTGATTTTTTTATCTTCTTCTAAGCATTCAGCCACTGCACACTCTGGCAGAAATCTCTGGTTCTTCATTCACTTCTGCTTCAGAACTTGAGTTTTGTGTGCATGTCCATTTTACAGATTTGGCTTATTTAACTGCTGATTCCTCGCCTCTCAGTCAGACACACTCTGACATCAAAGGAAACACCCCTACTTGATAGCACCACCTTTTAGGACATGCTTGTGATAGGGCAGTGGGTCTATTCTTTTTTCCCAAAAATGAGGCCAGAGATTTAAGAATGCACAGTACGCTTGTACTCTGCTATCTCACGTCAGAAATGTTCCAAATCATATCCAAGGAAGCAGAACTTGCTGGGTGAGGCATTCAACCTTCCCTTATGCATATCACAAATGGTCGTAGCATTATCATGAACACATGCTATTGCCAGGTATGCAAGAGGCTGTATTGTCAACTCTTAATGTCTCAGTTCTTAAATTTTAACATTTTCAAATTTGAAAAAACTTTTAAATTAAAACCTGGACTCTGCTATTTAAGTATTTTAAGAGTGACTCCCCCCCCCCCCCCCCCCCACCCTCTCTCCTTCCACCGACAACCTTTTTTTTTTAATGCAAATTTCTAGAGGTGAGGCTCAGTTAGTGTGAAGTCATGAAGATGTGCCACCAGCAAAAAATCGTGGAGGCCGGAGCTCAGCATATTTATAATTTTCTAGGGGCAGGGGCTCAAGGTTTGTTTAAATGTGCAATAATAATTATTATTATTGGTAAATTGTTAATAAATATATAATGATTATTTTATAATTTAAATAATAATTATAAATTAATATGAAATAATCAAATACATAAGTACTCAAAAATAGAACGTCTGTGCATGATTCATGATTCGTGATTAGGGAAACCCCTAAGCCCCCTGCAAATTTTATGTGAGGAGGCTCAGCCCCTGCCCCGACCCCTTTCTGTCCAGAATTAATGAAGATAAAGGCACTCACACAGTTTCCCTCCCCTCCCCCCCCCCTTTTTTTTTTTTAATTTGGAGGGTGGCGCTCAGCCAGGTACCTCAGCTCTCAAGTGACAAATGCCCATGGCAGTCGGCAAGGCGCCTGATAAATCACAACTGTGACAAATTCACAGCCACTGACTCAGTTTAAATTCCATGTTTAAACAATACAATATATACCACGACAAAACATAACCACAAATTATTCATAAAAGTATTTTAAAGTATTTATTTAAAGTCTAGTGTGTTTTCTTACCTTGGCGTCATACAAGACCCTGGCTTTCGTAGGGTCTGGTTCAAAGCAGAGCACGATTTCTCCAACATCGTATTCAAACCTCATGTTTCTCCCGGCCATGCCTAGTCCATGCAATCATCTATAAACAGTATATACACTAGACAACAACAACATTAAATGTAAGAAAGCAACTGGCGGGCAAACATTTATCTATTTTTTATACTTATACCATAAACAAAAAGACAGAGCTAACAGGAAGCATTTTTATTTTCGATCAACATTTGGTGTCGTAAACACATACCTGTTGTTGGCAGTTGTGCGGTTTCTCGCCCAATTGCGCGATTTTGGTTTTCAATTTTGTTACTGGGTGTTTGAAGTCGAAAAATTTTTGAATATTAATGTGGCAAAGTTACATAATTGAAAGATAGACAGAGTAATTGGGAAAACTGTATTATGATAGTAGATCAGAAGTATATTTGCAGGACAACAGTAAAGGCCCACCAATACTGGCTTCAGAAGTTGAGGATGCATTGCAACACATAAAGATAGGAAAGGCACCCGGGTCAGACAAAATCACATTAGAAGTAATTAAAGCTTTGGGATATTTTTGAATTGAAATAATAACAAAATAGTTAAATGACATTTATAATAGTGGGGTGCATTCCAAATTACCTGTTAAAATCTATATTTATTGCTCTGCCAAAGAAATAGAGCACTTTAAAATATGAAAACTATTGCACCATAAGTCTTATGAAACATGTGACAAAAATGTTACTGAGAATAATTGAGAAGAATAAGAAAGAAGATTAAACCAGAAATTAGTGAAGAACAGTGTGGATTTGTAAATTGAAAGGGAACAAACAATGCCATGTACATTCTCAGGACTCTTTCGGAAAGAGCTGGAGATCTTTACCTAGTATGCCTCACTGGCTACGGAGTCTCCAAGGTGAAATGGTCAAACCTATTATCTCGAGCTCTCAATGTCGTGGGTTCGTTCCACGGCTGCTCCCTTCAGATCATGGGTGCAATGTTTACGGAGATCCCCGGGGATCGTCACTGGAGCTATGGATTTTGTGCTTTGAGCTTACGGCAGGCAGCTAGCCGTTCTGCGGAGAGAGACCGAGCTAGATTGGATAAAACCTGGTCGATCCTCTTGACTTTAACCTTTAACCTTTTTTTAACCTTTGACTAAAACAAAAGCGTTTGATTGTGTGAAATTTTATGAAATAATCAAATTGTTGGAAAAGTTAAACATTGATGGAAAAGATTTACGAATTTTAAAGAACATGTATTGGCAGCAAACAGCAGCTATGAGAACTGATTACCATGTGGAAACATTTCAGAGAATAAAGATTGAAGTACGACAAGGATGTGTACTATCACCTGGTTTGTTTGCATTGTACAGTGAATATATAATGAAACTTACCATGGATATGCCAGGAATTATGGTTGGTGATCATAACATAAACAACATGAATTGTGCTGTTGACACCGTCTTGATAGTGACATGCCAGAAAGAACTACAGGAATTACTAGAATCGGTAGTGGTAGAAAGTGATAAAGTAGACCTGTCTGAATGATGGAAAGACAGAAGTATTGGTGATTTTCAAGAAAAGAATTGTGCCTAAATGTATAATAAGAGTCAGAGGTGTTATTTTAGAACGAGTGCAGAAATTTAAGTATATGAGCACATGTATAACATTCGATGGAAGATGTATCACAGAGATAAAGAACACTATAGGACAGGCCACAAATGAAGAACATTTTGTGCAAAATATCCATGTCATTGGAGATTAGGAAAAGAATTCTCGCAAGCTCTATAGAGCCGATTTTAACATTCGGACATGAATCACGGACACTAGCTAAACAAGCCAGACAATATCTCGAGGCCTGAGAGGTGTGAATTTACAGAAGAATCCTTAGAATTCTTCGGACAGCTAAGAACAGTAACCCAGATGTTTTAAAAGAGGCACGTGCTCGAAGACAACTTATCACAAACGTCAGAAAGAAAAAAGAAACAGTCACTATTTTTTGGTCATGGTGTGAGAAAAGAGTCATGTTGTGAGAAAAGAGTCATGTTGTGAGAAAAGAGTCATGTTGTGAGAAAAAGAGTCATGTTGTGAGAAAAGAGTCATGTTGTGAGAAAAAGAGTCATGTTGTGAGAAAAAAGTTATGGTGTGAGAAAAGAGTCATGTTGTGAGAAAAGAGTCATGTTGTGAGAAAAGAGTCATGTTGTGAGAAAAGAGTCATGTTGTGACTGACCACTGGAAAGATTTGTGGAAAGAGAGAGAGGAAAACAGCGCGAGAAGATTTTTGACAGCCTTTTGTCATGACATGGAGGGGTGTCAACAAAATAACAATTCCGGATCGCAGATTGTGGATAGGCATGATCGCCCACGTCAGTCGGTAAGGCACTTAATGATGATGTATTAGGCGAGAGGTTAGCAGGCTGGACTCGGGTGACCCAGGCTCGAACCTCGGTAAGAGAGGTTGATTTCTTTGTCTATCTGGGACAGAAATAAAATCTCAAACCTGTGTAGTTGATAGTGACTGCATCAGCACTGAGCTCTAAATCTCCAAGATCACGAATGCCCCCCCCCCCCTTTTTTTTTTCATTTTTTCCTCTCGTCCTAGACTTCTCGAAAAATGTTAAGGGAACAAAACCCTTATATTCAGAGGCCTTGAATCTGTAGTGACTACCTTTTCGTCATCATAATGTGACATGCCTACTTGAGCAGGCGCTCGTGTATCTCCAGAGATTTCTATCCCTGGTTGCCTGTAACAACTCTCTTGATGATATCCCTCCATGCCATCATTTCAGCCCATCTAGCATCGTCTCCCTTTGTCTGCCTCTACCCCTCATTCCAATTATCATTCCAGTTGTCGCGATGTTTTCCCAATGTCTCTCTTCTCAATATGTCGCCAAAGAACAGTGTTTGTCTCCTTCTTATTGTTGTTTATAGAGATCTGCTTTGATTAGCTTCTTTCAAGCAATAGTTGTTAGTTACCATGGCCGTCCAAGGTATTCGTAACATTCGTTTCAGAAATCACGTCTCTGTAGCTTCCAAATTTCTTCTTAATTTGTTCACTGACATTCCAATTAATCGAACTTATATGTTTCTCGTCCTTTTTAGGATGAAAATTTTCGTTATTTGAAGCCCTACTCTGGCTTTTGCCAGGGGCCGCAATATAGCCAGGCCATAAATATGGCCTAGTGGCTGAACGCGGTTTCTGGGACCTCTCCACGGTGATCCTCATCCACATGGTGGCACTTTGTGTCATCGGGTGTTTATCGCTTGTGTGATATCCTGGTGGGGTAGAAAGTCAGTCAGTCACTGACATTCCAGGATTCTCTGCCATACAACAGAAAGGGTTTTATGAAACATTTTAGCACTCTTTCTGACATTCAATGAGAGCGATTTATTGCATGAGATATTTTTCATTTTCTGAAATGCTGCCTTCGCTTGACCTATTCTGCTTTTAATCTCTGTCACACATTTTCCATCTGAAGATATGAATGTTCCCAGATATTTGAATTTATTGACTTGGTCAAGTCTCTTCCCTTCAATTGAGATATCACAATGTGGTGTTTTCTTCTTTGATATAACCATTGCTTCTGGTTTCTTAATATTCAAGGAAAGTCTTTTCTTAGCATTCTCAATCACTACAATATCCAGCAGTTGTTGTAAATCCGTTACAGGTGGTAAACGCTGCATTAGATCGAAGGCAGGATTGTCAAGAACTTTTACAGTGAACTCTGGTGTGCGTCAGAGCTGTATACTATCAGCACTTCTTTTTATAACATACATGGATACCAAATGTAAGGAAACGAACTTTAATCATGAAGAAGCTATTACAGAATTACCTTTCACCGACGACCAGGTCATCCTCATCATCATGTAGCAGGTCCTTTTCAGAACGTCGCTCTCATCACGGTCAGCCTGAAAGAAACTCGGTCTCTCGCCAATTCTTACGCCTCATGCACTTTCACACTCAATGAGTCACTTATATCCTGTGCCCATCTTCGTGTTGGCGGCCCTTGCCCCTCCTTCCTGGTACCACGCCTTCTGCTATAATTTTTTTTCCAATCCGTCGTGGCGCTTGAAATGACCAAAATATTTCAGCTTCGAGACAGGATGCTGTTTATTAGCCAATCTTCCTTGATGTTCAGATCTTTCAATATGTCAGTGTTTCTCGGGTACTCCTAGCAAAAAGTACGGATGCCTACAGAACCACCTAAATCAAATTATCAACAAAGGGGAGGAATATAATATGAAAATAAACACTACGAAGACTGAGACAATGATGACAGGAAGACAGAAAGACAATTTAGAAATACAATTAAAAAAAAAATCCTAAGGTAAACAGAACATTTAAGTATTTGGGAGCAATTTTCACATCCGACGGAAAACTGGACAGAGAAATTAGCTCGAGATGTGCCAAAGCTAATCAAGGAATGGGGCAACTATTTCCTCTGTTGACACACAAGCAGATACCTCGGAGTACTAAAGTGAATCTTAGAAGTATTTTTTTTTTTTGGGGGGGGGGGGGGGAGGGGGGCAACACTATGCTATCAATGCCAAACGTGGACAGTTACACCCTCTAGTGAACGTAAAATTGTCACAAAAAGATGGAATGACTTAGAAGAGTTGCGGGAGTTTCAAGGAAAGTCAGAATACAAAATCAGATGAATGCAAGGAATAAAGCCAGTCTTACAGGTCATCAAAGAACAACAAATAAAGTGGTTTGGACACCTATCAAGAATGCCCTGGTACTATCTGCCACAGCGAGCCTCACTAAAACGTTACAACGGGTATAGAGCAAGTGGAAGACCTCGGAAAATATGGAGTGATGGCATCAAGAACAGCCTTACAGAAATGAACACCAGTCTTAATAGTGCTCTTGACAGAGCTCATCAACGAACGTTACATCTCTCCCCGACACTTCACTCAGGTACAAGGTGGAAGAGAAGAAAAAGAAGAAGAAGAAGAAGAAGAAGAAGAAGAAGAAGAAGAAGAAGAAGAAGAAGAAGAAGAAGAAGAAGAAGAAGAAGAAGAAGAAGAAGAAGAAGAAGAAAAAGAAGAAGAAGAAGAAGAAGAAGAAGAAGAAGAAGAAGAAGA